TTTAAATTCTGCTAATTTTAGTATCAGTTGGAAAAAACAATTTTAGTCTGACGATTTGTTTATTTTTCTCCAATTTTTTATAAATAATAAAAGTAATGATTTTAATTTTATAGTTAGCAGTAAAAAGAAGTTTCAGTCATACAATTTATTAAAAGGTTTTAATTCAGTTAACAGTAGTAAAAATAAATCTTAGTCATACAATTTCTTAAATAGTTTTAATGTTTTTATCAGTAGTACTTAATCCAAAAAAGTATTTCTCGGGGACTCTTGTCGAAGTGCGTAAGGCCAATAGGGCAGGAGTATAAAACAATAAAAAAAAAAAAAAAAATTTTGTCAGTAGTAGAAATAAATTTTAGTACAAACAAATACATTGAAATAGTTTTTAATTTTTTTATGAGAATTACTAATAAATATCTGTCTGACTATTTATAGAATGGTTTTAATTTTTTCAGTAGTTCAAACAACTTTCAGTCAGACAATTATTTTTAATGGTTTACATTTTTTTATCAGTAGTACAAACAAATTTAAGTCATACAATTTCTAAATTGATTTTAATTTTATTGTCAGTAGTAGAAATAAATTTCAGTCAGACAAGATCTTGAACGGTTATCATGTCTTTAACAGTAGTACAAACAAATTTTAGTCAGACAATTTCTTGATTAAATAATTAAATAATTAATATTATTATTATATTTTTTTCATCATCTTAATAATTATTATTAATTGTTGAATAATTTAGTAATAATAAAATGAGTTATATTTTTCGAAATAAAACTAAAAAGAACAATAACTGACTATAATTATTATCATAATACCGGAATATTTGACTTTTTTGTGAAAAGCATTTTGAGTTTCACGGCAACTTCGCTCAGGGATGATAAATTGATAAGGAAACTTCTTGGGTCAAGCAGGATAGAGGGCTCAATCAGGGTTTGCGGCATTCTTGTCACATGGGGATACTGAAAATGCCGCATGTTCCTCTAGCTACGGATTCTATTTTTGTACAAAATATATACTAGATTTCAAATATTACTTCTCACTTTCCAATATAAAATTCGAGTCAAGTATTATCAATACCTATATGTATATAAATATTAATTTTTACTTATACTTTTTTAATTTTAACTCTTTCAATAATCTAAGAGTAATTAATTTATAACAACAGTTATAAGTTTATTTCTATTAGATTAGTGAAGTTGCCAATAGAATTTTTTTTGCTTCATAACAGGCAAAATATTAATATTACTTATATTTGATAATTTTTAACATTTAAAACTTGAAACAATATTTAAAGTATGTAAATTCACAGTTTTTCTAAGGATATTAAGCTGAGACAAAAATGAAACAAAAATGTTGCGAAGCAACATTATGATTCGTTTTTTGCCTCAATCTGATATCCTTAGAAAAACTGTGTTCTACTTAAAATTAGTGTAATTTTTTACAGAACTTTTCCTTCTCATAAAAAATGATCGTTTCTAAGATACAAAATTCCAATTATTTAGTTTATTTATTTATAATTATAAATAATTTTCATTAATTTGTTACTATTTTTCCATTTAAAATAAATAATTGATAAAATTTATCCTCTGTAACAATTTTTCATTTAATACAGTCGGCCAACAATGATGAATATCTTTTGCAAGAAACTACCGAAGGAAATTATAAAATAGAAACTTTTTTCGAAAATCAATTAGAGAAAAATGAATCGAAATTGATGATGAATCCTATACAGTATGAATTGAACTTGAAGAAAAATCCCATAGAGAAGTAATTAATTTTGTTTTTCCATTTCTATTTTCTATAATACCTACACTAGAAATAGTATTTAATCGAATTATAACTCGAAGCAATTTGTAAAAGCAGAAAAATTTAATTAAATAAAGTTCTGCTTTTATGAAACTTGAACAAGAATGTTATTTTCGATAAATAAAAAAAAATAACAGATTTTCAGTTTACGATTCAAAGTAAAAGCAAAGCGCAACAATCAATTTCTTGATCATGCTTTCACTGATGATAACAGTTGCAATGTGTATTGTATAGAGTTCTAGCGAAGCGGCTATTCCATTTTAGATTTATCTTAACATTTTCTGAACAATATACTTTCTTTTTTCCTTCCACAAATACAGGTCAATCGATAAACCAATTAACGGAAAATTGGAAGTATCGAGGAATTTTCTTGGCAACCAATATTTTAAACTGTTTAACGATATTACACATTCAGAATCAGGTTTGTGGCTAATACGATATGGAAAAATATTTCACAGTTTAACAATTTTTTTTTTAATATATTTAAAAAGATTTAAGTTTTAAAATTGTTGAATATTTAATTTTTAGTGGTAAAATTAAATTCCATCCCGAGTCGAAATTTAAGCCCTACTTTCACCCTGAATTTTCAGTGTCTATTGAGTGTTAGGAGTAGTAAAGTAGGGTCTAATTCTAATACAATTAGACCCTACTTTGACTCCCAAAACAGGCGGAAATTTGCCAATCTTCCATTTGGAGAAGCAAAGGAGGGTCTACTTCTAAGAAACCTGTACCGTACTTTTAAACCTCGTAGACCCTACTTTCATACTCCTAGACCCTACATTCTAAAAGAAAATTTAGAATTATTTTTTAATGCATTACTTGAAACACTGCAAATGCAAAAAGTACTCCAAATTCATAAATACTGATGTGTTTTATAGCGTCTATATACACTTCGTGTATATAGACGCTATAAAACACATAAAATTCCACTTTTACTCATCCCAAGTGCTTCAATTGAATCTGAGCAAATCTTCAAATTTTTCTTTTTCTAATTGTAGGGTCTAGGAGTATGAAAGTAGGGTCTACGAGGTATAAAAGTACGGTATAGGTTTCTTAGAAGTAGACCCTCCTTTGCTTCTCCAAATGGAAGATTGGCAAATTTCAGCCTATTTTGGGAGTCAAAGGAGGGTCTAGTTTTTAAAAATTGTATTGAAATCAGACCCTACTTTACGACTGCTAAACCTGAATAAGCCCTACATTTTCAGAGGCTAAGTAGGGTCTAAATTTCGACTCGGGATGATACCTTATTTTATTAATTAAATATTGATATATTGACAATTCATTTTTAATAATTAATTTATTAACTGCCTTACTTTATTAATATTACAGCAATTTATTCTCTTAATTTAATTAATTAGAATTTAATTTGATTGTCAGTAGTACAAACAAATTTCAGTCAGTAAATTCTAAATTTTTATGAATTTAAAAAAAAAATTGGCCAGTAGTACAAACAATTTTTAGGCAAATAATTTCTTGAATGCTTTTAAATCTTTTATCAGTAGTGCAAGCAAATTTTAGTCAGACGATTTCTTTGAATCTTTCTGATATTTAATCAACAAAACTTATTCATTTTATTGACAGTAGTACAAACTAATTTTAGTCAGACAATTTCTTAATATAAATTAAATTTTAATTAATTTTATAATTAATTAATTGCTAATTTCTTTCACATTTAATTAATTTTACTTTTGTTGGAAATGGTGCAAACAAATTTCAATAAGACAATTTACTCAAATATTTTTTTTTGCAGTAGTACAAACAGATTTAAGCCAGACAGTTTCTTTAGTAGTTTTAATAATACTGTAAGTAGTAGAACCAAATTTTCGTCAGCCAATTTCTATAAATGGCTATAATTTTATTGTCAGTAGTACAAATAATTGTAGGTCAGACAATTTCTAGCGGTTTTAAATTTTTATCAGTAGTTCAAATAATTTTCAGTCAGACAATTTATTGAATGGATAAACTTATAAATGAATCTAATTCTAATATCAGTAGTACAAAATAAATTTTAGTCAGACAATTTCTTGAATGCTTCTAAATCTTTTATCAGTAGTAGAAACAAATGTTAGTCAGTCTTTTTTAAATCTTTTTTCATGTTCAGTCAGCCAAACTTATAAATGACTTTAATTTTAATGTCAGTAGTACAAAATAAATTTTAGTCAGACAATTTAGAAAATTCTATTATAAAGTAGTAAAAACATATTTTAGGCAGACAATTTATTTGTTTCTGATTTTTTCATCAGTAGTGGAAGTAAATTTTAAGTCAGCCAATATCTTAGTTTTAATTCTATTACCAGTATTAAAGAAAAATTTAGAAAAATTTTCTTTGAAACTTGTTTTTAACATTATTGTCAGTAGTATAAACGAATTTCAGTCAGACAATTTTTTTACCTTTTTTTTAATTTATTATCAGTAGTAAAAGCAAATTTTAGACAGACAATTTCTATAATTGTTTCTAATTTTTCTTTAGTGGTTTTTCTATTTTTATTTCTATTTCTTAAATAGTTTTAATTCTATTGTCAGTAGTAAAAACGAATTTTAGTCAGACAATTCTTTAATTTGATTTTAATTGTTTTTTGCAATAGTAAAAATAAATTTTAGTCATATGTATAATTTTCTATATGATTTTAATACTTGTATCAGTAGTCCAAACAAATTTCAGTCAGACAATTTCATGATTGGTTTCAATTCTTTGACCAGTAGTCCAAAAACATTTTAGTCAGTCAATTTAAATTATTTTAGCAGTAACACATAATAATTTAAAGTAGACAATGTTTAAAATTTTTTTAATTTTTTTATCAGTAGTAGAAATAAATTTCAGTCAGACAATTTCATAAATGACTTTAATTCAATTATAAGTAGTAAAAATAAAATTTAAATCAGTCAATTTGAGATTAATTATTGCTAAAATAATAACTGCAACTTTTTCAAAAAAATTATTTTCTAAAATTTGGAACTAAAATTCGTCGAGACTTGTATTATTTATACAAAAAATTAGATTTATATTAAAATCGTACCAATCACTCTTTATGCATGAAGGTTTGTTTTAAAGTTTCTAATTCCCGGACCAATTTTACTTTTTCCCAAATTCTCCACTTCCCCTGTCCTGTATGGCAACCTGAATTAATTTAAAAAACAAAGAATAAGGGAAAAGAAAAAAAGTATTCTACTAAAAAAGAAATTCGTACAAATAGGCCATTCAAAAAATAGACGGCATAAAAGAAGAAAAATCAATAGTCGAGTAAAAGACCTAGATGACTCTTTAATCCGACACGAATCGAGTCAAATAATGGGTACTGTTTCATCGGAAAAATCAGAGACAATGAAAGGAGTAAATGTGGATGAGTTTCCACTGTCTTTAGAAACGTCGAAACAGACTCGACTGGAATCGAGCAAAAGTCTCATTGAAAGCAACAATGGTACAAATAGAAATGTCGATGTAACGAACATTTCTAGAGCCAAAGAATATGAAAGCAACTTTGAGAAAGATACTCACAGAAAAGAAGGTCACACGAAAAGTGAACATGAAAGGATGATGTCACCAAGGAATTCAAATACGCTGAATGAAACCCACAATGGAAAAAATGATAAAAGTAATATTTCGTGTACATAAAGTATTCCAAAATTTCTCAACTTTCAAATCAGTGAAATCATTTTTTTTCCCTATATAAATACAGTCAGCTCTCGATAATTAAATTTTCGATAAATCGAATTTTTTCAATAATTGAATTTCTTTTTTTGATCCTTAAAAAAAATTGTTGATACTTAAAACATTCGATAAATAAAATCCTCGATAATTTGTACTTTTTTATGACCCTTGAAATTAAAAAAAAACAAATATTTCTATAAAAATAAGGAATAAAATCCATTTTTTGTTTTTCCGCTTTCAGAATTTTATCATAAACAAATTCAATTGAATTCAGATGATTTTTTACAACACAGTTGGCAAAGTAGAGGGAAAAGAAAATTATTATACATAAAGGAAGAGTACAGTAACCGAAAAAATTCAATAACGTTAGGCAAAGAAAAAGATTCTGTTTGTCATAAAATGGAATGTGAAAACACTGACACTGAATCTATTGTATCAGAAAGGTGCAAACAAATCAAAGAACATATAAAAGCTCTAGAAGATGTTACAAAAAAAGATGATGATATAAAAATGCAGTATCATAGAAAGAGTAGAAAGTTACTTATTCACAAGAAAAATATTGTTCGATGTCGAAGTAAAAAAATCGATTCAAATGATAATATTTATGATGATAATGATAATAATGATGACGATGGATTAAAATACGAGAAATTTGCAAAAAAACGAAATGAAAATTTAGATGATAATTACAGAGACGCTGCTCAAGATTATGATTATTATTATAATCATGAAGATAAACTCTCAAAACCAGGTAAATAAATAAATAATTAAATAATCTACTTAATTTTTTTTATTAATTTTTTAACAAAATTGTAACTTTTTCTGGGTGTAATTTCAAACTGAGAAAAAATTTGTTTCATCCAAATAAACGATTACTTGACTATTAACTATTTATTTGGATTTAAATATAAATTTTTTGATTCAAGTAAATATTTACTTTATAATAAACAAGTAATTGGTTATTTCAACCAAAAGAAATTTTTTAATTGCATTAAGAATTAAATTAAACTAATTTATTTCCGTTTTCATAAATTTAATATAAAAATAAAAAATATTTTTTTCCTCAAAAAAAAAAAAACAGATACAAGAATAAGACGAGAGGAAATTCAATATTTCGATTATAATGAAAATTCAAAAGTGTCAGAAGAGTTGTCTCATGAATCTCAGTCGAAAATAATAAAAAAAGGTAATTTCCATACATAAAATACATAAAATATTAAAATAATAGTACAAAAAATAATAAAATATGAAAAAAGTTTTTCACCTTATTTTTGGAGCCGCTCCGAAGAAAAATTGCTCCCAGAAAAATCGAAAACAAACTATGTATTAAACTATGTATTAAAAATCATCGAATTGTTGCAAAGAATTTTATCAAAAAATTTTATTATAATAGAATTCCTTCAAAGAATTTTATTATTTAGGAAAACAAATGAATTTTCCCAAAGAATTTTATTAAAATTTTTAAAACTCCTAATTAAATTCTTTTGAAGAATTTCTTAAAATTTTTTTAAACTAATGGAGTTTCTTTAATAATTTTAATTAAAAATTTTGAAAGCAATTCAAGTTTATGAAGAAGAATTTTTTTAAAATTGAATTGAAAATAATTGAAGTCTTGCGAAGGATTTTACTATTTATAAAGATAATTGAATTATTGAGTAGAATTTTAGTATTTATAAAAATAATTGAAATGTTTCGAAGAATTTATTAAAATTTTAAGAAATAATTAAATTGTTATGAAGAATTTTATTTCAATATTTGAAAATAATGAAATTTTTTCGAGAAATTCAATTAAAGTTGTTTCAAAAATAATTGAATTTCTTTAAAAAATTTTATTAAAATTAAGTATATTCAAAATAATTGAATTCATCACAAGAATGTTATTATTTTTTTAAAATAATTGAATTCTTTTATATAAAATTTTTAAAATAATATTTTGAGAACAATTGAATTATTTTTAGAGAATTTAAAATTCTTGTTGAAATTGAATTTTATGGAAATATTTGAAAATAATTAAATTCTTTTGTATAATTTTTTTTAAATTTGATTACATATAATTTAATTCCTGCAAAGAATTTTAGTATTTATAAAAATAGTTAAATTGTTTCGAAGAATTTATTAAAATTTCAGGGAATAATTGAAATTTATGGAAATATTTTAAAATATTTGAATTCATCCGAGGAATTCAATTAAAATTGTTTTAAAAATAATTGAATTCCTGCAAAGAATTTTACTATTTATAAATTAATTAAATTCTTGCAAAGAATTTTACTATTTATAAAAATAATTGAATTTTTTCGAAGGATTTATTAAAATTTTAGAAAAGATTTGAATTCTTTCGTGACATTTTATTAAAATTTTTAAAAATATGAACAGTAATAATTAATTTTGTATTTAATAAGTGAATTTTTTAAATTTTAATTATAAAATTATTAAAAAAATTTATATTTGAAAATAAAAAATGTTGTAATTTGCATAACAAAAATAAATTCAATATCACGTTCCGCGCGCTAGCGCGCGTAACATTTGCTAATGATAAATAAAGAAGAGAAAACCTATAAAAACATAATAAAATATTAATAACAGATTTATACATTTAAAAAAAGAAAAATTATGTTTATTATGCTTTTATAGATTTTCTCCTTTTTATTTATTTTTATATATTTTATTAAAAATATTATTTTCTTCTTCCAATTGTTATTGGTAAAATAAAATTGGTAAAAAAATGTTATTGGTAAATTGTAAAATATTTTGTTTTCGATTTTTGCCTTCGGAGCGGCTCCAAATATAAAATGAGATATTAACTATATTTTGTAATAATATCAATGATATTTAACAATATTTATATTATTAATAAATAATTTGTATAAATAATAAAATAAAAATTACTATAAATTATTATAGAATATTATATTAATTTATATAGAAAATAATAAATAGTAGATAAATATAGTAAAAATATGGTAAAATTATAGTAACAAAATAAGTGATAAATAAAATATAATAGAAAATATATGAATTGTCAAATTGAAAATCAATTTTGAATTTATTGAATTGAAGTTCGTAATAAAGAGGCCAAATATTTTCAGATACAACATCCAAAAAGAAATCGAAAAATGACGATTACCCGATTAAAAAAAATAAACAAAAAATTGAAGACGAAAAGCAAGATCAGGAAGCAAAGAAAACAGGGAATAAAATTCCGAGTGAGGAATTCATTGGCAACTTAAATATTCCGGACATTTCCGACAATCAAACATTAAATGAAACACTAAGTGAAAATTCTCTAAAAACCAATAATTTGCCAATTAATGGTGCAATAGATCGTGACAAAAGATACGAGGACGAGGACAATACAAATATTCGCAATTACGAAAAATCAAATGTGGACAGATCATGGTAAAAGAGAAATTAAAATATTCGACAAAAAAAATCTCTGGGTGAAAAAGTAAAAAAAAAGAATTGAAATAAAAATAATTCTAAATCTGTATTTCAAAAAAGAAAAAAAATTTCATCAAAATTTACGGGGATGAAAAAATGATAAAAATTGTTATTATTTAAAAATTAAGTTCAATAGTAAATAAATACAAAAAAAAGTTTTTAATTTCTCCGAAAAATTTATTTGGCGAAAAAACTATTATAAAATTTATTTAGAGAAAATAAATAAAAACTATGCACTGAAGAAAAAATTTATTTTATTCAAATAACCGATTACTGGACTATTATCAATAAAAATAATAATAATGATTCTATCACTCGGTGATATTTTATTTATCAATAAAATATTTACTCGAATCAAATAATTTTTATCTAAATAAATTAAATGGTATTTAAACTAACATTTTCAGTATTTAGAGTAAATATGAATTGAATCATTTAATTGACTCAAATAAAAATTATTTCATTCAAGTAAATATTAAATTGATAATAATTCAAGTAATTACGGTTATTTGAATCAAATAAATTTTTTCTTCAGTGTAATTATATTAAAATTAAGTTAAAAAAAAAATTTTTTCTTCAATTATTATTTACGGGGAAAAAATGTATTTATTGATAGTACAGAACATCGAACAGGTCAGATAAATTGTCTGAAAGAGAAAATAATGTTTTAAATGAAGATAATGAGGACTCGAGAAAAATCATATCCTACGAGCCAATTGAGTATAATTTTAAAATTCAGGGAAAGTTTAAAACCAAAGATATAAGTGACTTTTTAAGTAACGATCTGCCATTAGAAAATAACCTGTTTGCTCATCGGAATAATAAGGATTCGCTGAGCCCGCGAAACAATAAGAAAGATTATAAACCGCAAAAGTAGGCACATTACTGAATTCGCACTTGAAATTTTATTAATTGTCTGTGAAAATCTTCTTTGATTAAAACTTTATTCTTTTATATTATATATAATCGTGGCAGACATTTTTGCTCATATAAATTATCAATAAAAATTATATTTGATTTAAATAAACGATTACTTATCTATTATTAAATCAAATAAATATTTATTAGATATCGAATAATTTTTAAAATCTTAAATATTAATTTTCAATTTTTAATATTTTTATGACAATTTTCAATATTGGTTCAAATAGAATTTATTTTATTTAAATAAAAATTATTTGATTCAATCAAATATATATTTGATAAGACAAGTAATCCATTATTTTGAATTAAATAAATTTCTTTCAGTGTATTGCATCAATAGAATTTTCGAATTTTGAGAGCAAAATTTTTTTCCACAGCCGCGGAAAAAAAGTTTTATCTAAAACAGCCATAAGTTTCACTGGAATAGCGATATGTTTCTCTAAAATAGAGAAAAATTTTCTTATTCCAGTGAAACGTATCGCTGTTTCAGGTGAAACATTTTTTCCGTCAGGCTCAAAAAATATAAATAATTATTTAATATTATTAATATTAAATATTGCAAATCTAGATTAAAAATAAATAAAATAAAAATAATATTAATAATAATAATAATAATAATTATTATTATAATTATAATAAATTATAATAAATAATTATGAATTATTACATCGAATGAATTTTTAATTTTCAGACAAAAATTAACAATGAATTACAAAAATGGAAAGGAATATATTTATGGAAGTTTTAAAAATAATTGCAATTTAAAGGATGAGAGGAGAAAATATTCCATTAAAGACAATCGACGAAAGAATGCAAAATTTTCAACACCAAGGTACAGTATGTTTTTCTCCTACTTTTCAGAAATCCGTTACAATAAATTTTAATATTGTTTAAACAAAGAAAGAAAAAAAATTATCAATTATCCTAAAATTAATCGATAAAAAATTTAATTAATTATTTAACTTTTTGAATATCCATCAGTGTAGAAATAGAGATGGAAAATCAGAGTGAAAAGCAAAGAAATAAAATTACCGATGAAAATAATTATAATATTGATAATGAAATTCCGGAAACAAAAGGTACCGAGAAAGTTAATTTATTTATATATATATAAATAGATAAATAATTGCCAATAAAATTTTAATTATTCCAAAAACATAATTGAAAAATGAAGTATTTAATTAATTTTGAAATAATAAAAAAATGTAATTATTTAATTAACAATTAATAAATGATATGCTCATACAAAATGAGAAATAAAAAATGTTTAGCATGCAATAATATTAGTGACTCACCAAATTCTTTGCAGCAAGTAGTCCAAAAATCTGAGTTTCACTCACCTGAAATAAAAATAATAATAAAACATATTTATTATTTATATTTTATAATAATAATTTTCTAAGATTTTAATTTGAAACCTTTCAAAATTCAATTATTTCTAAAAATTCACGTTATAATGCTTTTAATATTCAACTATTATCTAAAATTTTAACTGAAATTCATTTTTAAATTATTGAATTCTTTTAACGAATTTTAATAAAATTTTTAAGAATAATTACATTTTTCGCGAAATGCAATTAAAATTGTATTAAAAATAATTGAAATTCTAAGTTTTATTATTTATAAAAATAATTGAACTTCTAAAAAGAATATTGTTATTTACGAAAAATAATTGAATTATTGCGAAGAAAATAAAAAATTTGTAAATAATTGAATTCCTGTAAAATTAACTATAATAATTTGAATTTTCTTTTATTCATTCACTTTTTCTGTCCCTCACACTCTGAAGTTGTCTTTTGTTTATACTTTAGTTTTTTGTTATCTTTAGATACATTGTATATTATATTATTATGTTATAATTATTTGTATTTTATAATTAATTCAAAATTGTAATGACAAATAGAAATCATCAGAATTTTTTCCACTTCTTTTCATTAAAAGACTAAAATTTTGTTGAATATTATTTTTTGTCAAATTGAAATTATGCAGATTTTTGTTCTTTACTTCTAAACAAAATTAGAAAATTGTTAAATTTCCTGGGATTAAGAAATAGAAAATTTATTTATTTTGCATTATTTTTGTTTATGAATCACAATTTTTCTAAAACAAAATTATTATTTTGTTTTAGAAAAAAAAGAAAAATATTTGCACAATTCCTATTTTTAATCTTATTTTGGAACAGGATTTTCCACAGGAATTAAGACATTCAAAAATTTCAAATTTAAACCATTTTTAAATTAAACAATTTAACTTATAAAAGTATTTGTTATAAAACATGAAGATATCGATTGCTCCGAGTCGAAGATTCAAAGTGATCGATTTCTTCATGTTTTATAATAATTAAAGATGACCAAGTAATAAAATCATTATTTTATATTATATAAGAATATTGTTACTGTAACTTCATCAAAATTATTTTTATCATTTTAATTCAATTATTATTTTCTACAATTTTAAATTATTTTTTTTTTAAATAATAATTGTATATTCCTTAAAAAAAATTTATTATTTATGAAAATAATTAAATGTTTACATACAATTTTATTAAATTTTTTTAAATAATTGAATTCGTTTTGGTAAATTTTATTATAATCTTAGATATTAAAAATCATTGAAATTAGAAAAATTTTTGAAAATAATTGAAATTTCTCCAAAATTGAATTTTTTTAGTGTTTTTAACAAAAATTTTTAAAGTCTATTATTTTTAAAATTGCTAATTTTATTTAGAAAAAGCAGTAAGAAGTTAGCCGCGCACTTTAGCACGCGAATTGTTTCTAGTTTTTATTATTTATGCAAAGAATTAAATGTTTGCGTACAATTTTATTATAATTCTTTTTTAATATTTGAATTCTTTTGGAAAATTTTATTAAAACAGTAAATATTAAAAATCATTGAATTGAGGAAAATTTTTGAAAATAATTGTAATTTTGCAATGAATTTTATTATTTATAAAGATAATTGAAATTTTGACCAGAATTTTTTTTAATTTTTGAACATAATTCAATCTCTGCAAAGAATTTTATTACTTTTGAAAATAATTAAATTTCTGCAATCATTTGTAACAAAATTTAACTAATTTCAAAAGATTTTAATTATTAAAATTTTTCAAAAATCTAAGTTTTTTAAAATTTTTAATTAAATTTCTCTGAATTCCCTGACCTGTAACAATCCTGCTGTAATAATACCTAATAATTATTGTTATGAATAACGATTATTTTTATTATTATTATTATTATTTTTATTTTTATTTATATAAAAGTAAAACTAACAGTAATAATAATACAATTAATAATAGGAATAATAATAATAATGAAGACAATAATGCATTTTCAGGAAGTAATTATTCAGCTCTTAAAATTACGGATGATATGTTTAAAGGGGGCGTCGAACAAAGCAACATGACAGAGGAAAAACCATTAAACGAGATAGATCCTTCGCAGAAAACTGCTGAGTGGAAAGTTATTAAAGTACGCAGGACTTCATACTTAGAAATTCTAACTGATTAGCGTAAAATCGCATTAATTTTCTTCAAACTAAAATCAAAGTTTATAAGACCTTTGAAAACTAAAAGATTCGTGAACAATTCTTAAAGTTGGGTCAAAATTTCTCAAAAAAATAACAAAAGTTAGTTGGACAACGAAAGGGGGACTAAGCATTATTATTTTTTTTTTTTTTCATAAACTATTTCTTTAGAAAATTATAAACTTTCTATTTTTCTCTTAGAAACTTTATATATTTTAATATAGTAAGGAAAAAGCAGTAAATAAAAACTAAATGTCCTTTTTTACCCCTTTTACCAATTTAGCGCAAAAAGGACAAGAAATCACTGAAAAAACACAAGGCGAAAAAAAATAAAGAAAAACGATCAATAATAAATTCTGAAAATTTAATTCAAGAATCATACGTGGATTCATTAGATTGGATGAATGATTTTGATAATGACAGAAAAATAAGATTAGGAAGAACTTTGAAAAGTTGGTTGAAAAAAATAATACCTACATAGTAAAGAATTAAATATGTAATTGTAATTTTGATCAAAATTACGAGAAAAAAAATACTAACGACAATTCTATAAAAAAAATAAAAAAAAATAAAAGTTGTATAAAACAGTATCAAAATTTGAATAATTCCTACAATTTACAATTAATTCCGATAGATTCTTTGATCTCTGTTGCAGAAAATACTTCCCTTCTGGAAATAAATTCGACAAATATTTTCACTGAAAAAAGTAAAATTTATGATTCGATTCAAAATTTAAAAAATTTGCAATTCATTAAAAATAACACTAATTCGATAAATATGAGAAATAATTCTAATAATTTCGATATAATTGATTTTTAATTTAAAGACAATTTGAAGAAGAAGAAGAGAATAAAGAGAAACGTTTTAAAGAATTTCGATAACGGATTAAACAAAACCTATCAGTTTAGTCGTAAAATAAGAAGAGGTAGTGACAACTATTCCAGTATAAAAAATACTAATAATAGTAATAATTGTGAAATTAAAAATAATGAAGCAACGGAAATTTCTAACAGCAAGGTACAAATTGTTATTAAATAACTACTATTTATTATTATTACTTATTATTCATTTATTATTTATTATTATAGGTATTTATTATTATTTAATTGAATATTTTTTATATCATTCAATAGAATTTATTTTGTCAATAGTTTTTAAATTTATTAAATTTAAATCCTTATTAATAAAATCAGATGTCTGTCTGTACATTGCTTAAAACTTCAAAATGTTAACATGATTAGTTATTATGGACATCAGGGATTCCAAAAATATTCTTAAAAAATTTAATGTATGTACGTATGTATGTACGTATGTATGTACGTATGTCTGTCACAAAAACTTTGTACCCCAATCACACAAAAACATGTAAATCGATTTAAGTCCAACTTGGTAGGTTATTAGGTATTGACCCAAGGAAGGTTTATAAATTTACAGATTTAAAAAATATTAATTAGAACGGGAGATATTCAATTTCTTCAAAAAATTCAAAAAATCGAAAATTTCAAAATTTTTAATTTTTGAATGGATTGCTTTTAAAGTATCTATACTTGAGTATCACATGTTATTTAGTCACATTTTAGCATAATTTTGCAAAAAATAAAGTCCTATAACTAATATGTAAGTATACAAATGTTTTCAAAAAATCAAAAATTTCAAAATTTTACATTTTTCATGGATTGCTTTTAATCTTTCTATATTTGAGTATTACATGTTATTCAGTCACATTTTAGAATAATTTTGCAAAAAATACTATCCTATAACTAAGATGTAAATATAAAAATATTTTCAAAACTTCAAAAAATGGAAAATTTCCAAATTTCACATTTTTAATGGATAGCTTTTAAACTTTCTAAAATTCAATATTATATGTTATTTAGTCAGATTTTAGCATAATTTTGCAAAAAATACTATCCTATAAGTAAATATAAAAATATTTTCAATATCAAAAAATCGATACTAATTACTATGAAGTTTAATTCAGTAGTATTTTTGGAGTCTCTGATTATTATTTTGACGTAAAAATAGTGTAATTGAGAATTATTTATCAAATTAATCTAATATTTTCAAGAATTTCAGAAATATTGAAAATGCAAATTTTTTATGATTAAAATGATATTGCAGGATGTCAAGAAATTGTAAGTCACCTCTGATACAATACAAGCATATTACTTATATGCCACTAGGCAAAAACTTATATGTTAAAACGTTTTTTTTATTTTAACTCTAGATTTAACTTTTAGAGATGTTTTGAGCAATGTAAAGACAAAAGTTAACACGGTGTCTATTTTATTTAACAAAATTTCCTGCTTTGTCCTTTTTCACGGTTTATCTTTTTTTTGTTAAATTTAAATTTACTTGATTTTATCCATAAATAAATCTACAAATGGCTATAAAAATTTACTTATTTTTATGAAAATACTCTTTCTTAAGTTCATATAAAATATAGATTATATTACTAGCTGTCGTACCCGTCTACGACAGTTTTTTGTTTCTACTAATACATTTAACAGGGTAACTACCAAACGGGGAAAACTGGAAAAAGCTGGGAATTTTCCAATCAAATTAAGAAAAAGTTTCATTATATTAATTCGCTTTTAAAAAATTGCTTTTTACTTTAATTTTTATTGATGTATAATATTTATGAAAACAGACCCGGGTCAAAATTTAAGCCCTACTTTCGGTCTAAAATATAGGTCTTATGTTAGGTTTTAGCAGTCGTAACCTTTGCGATACAATTAGTTCCAATTAGACTCTACTATAACTCCAAAAACTGGGTGGGAAATTTGATAAATTTTTAATGCATTAATTAAAGTACTACAAATTGACAAATATTGTTCTCTGCATTTGAATTGGTTAAAATAACTAATTTGATAATAAAAAGTCAATCACTGATTCAAATAGTAATATTTTCCTACTGAAATAGCTATAATGGTACCTAACTAATTATTATTTTTTTCCGGTCAAATTAAATTCCTGAGCTATTTCCTTATTTTCCAAATTGGTAGACACACTGTTAAATGTATTGGTAGAAACTAAAACCCGTCGAAGACGGGTACGACAGCTAGTTTTTAATATAATAATGATAATAATTTAAATTTATATTAATTTTCTCTTATTTTGATGAAAATTTATCTTTTCCCCATTTTGCTATAAAATGTAATCAACATAATTTTGAGGACTAAAATAAAAGTGAAAAAATACTATTTTTAAAAATTCTCAATTAAAAATAATTTTAAAGGGAAATTCTAATGTAGAGTTTAGTATTAGAATCCTGGACAAACTTCTGATTGATTATAATAAACAAATAAATTATTTGGGAAGATTATATAAAATACTTTGTTTACTAAACAAAATTTTAAACGATTATAAAGCATTAACAAACGTCGAGAAGTCAGAATTTCAAAATAAACACATCATGTTGGTAACTATACCAAACAGTTTTTTAATTTACTTTTGATACCTAATTAATTATAATTAATTCACTTACTAATTGATTATAACTTTATATAATTATAAAATTTATTTATAATTATTTATTTTATTTTTTAATAATAAAATTATTTACTTTATTTATTTTTAATTTTTTTAATTATTAAATTATAATTTATAAATATTTTTTCTTACATTTTAAGACTCAACAATTAAACTTCCTTGTAAATCAAATGAAATATTATGAAAATGAAACTGAAAATCTTGAACGACAATTTAAAAATAATTGGAGGGAATTAAAAAAATCACCAGAAATCACAAAATTCAGTAATTAATTTACATTTTGAAAAAATAAAAACAAATTATAATATTGAAATTCTGAACGTTCTATTATTGAACAAATATTTTTTTTCTTATAAAGAATTTAATCAAAATTTTTCAAAATAATTGAATTCTTGCGAAGAATTTTACTAAAATTTTTGCAAACAATAAATAATTATTATTGTATTAGTAAATAATTAATTAGTAAATTAGTCAGAAAAAAATTATGTTTGACTCAAATTCTCTATTTTGTTCTTTAAACTTTATTTTCAGATTATTCTAATATAAATAAAATTTGTTAAACTTGAGTAATATTTGTTTGATTTAAATAAAAATTTGGTTCACTTCAATTTTTCGTTCTTTTTTTTAATTTTTGCGTTCAAAGAAAGAATTTGGTCATCTCAAGCAAATTTTTAATTGAGCCAAACGAATATTTGATAGCAAATTTTTTTCTTAGTGTATTTAATTGCCATATTATTTTTTTAATTGCTCCTTTTAATTTCAATAATAAGAGTTATATGTCTATTTAAACGTTCATGATTTCAAGAAATATAAAGATCTAAAATTCATACACAATAAAAGATTGAAATAAAAAACAAAACAAAAAAAACAATGAATGGCAACGATTAAAAGAAAAAAAAAAATTCTTTAGAACTGAAACAAGTGATGATGCATCTCAGAAAACGGGATATTTTAAATAGAGAGAGAAAGCACAATTATTATCAGAAAATACTCGAGAAAGAAGAAAATCATAGGAAACGCAAAATACTTAGAAAAAGTGGGGGCAAGCATCAAAATTGTGAAAAGTATAGGCATAATAATTTAGCCGATAGTACCACTCAAGAATATCGGAATTTGAAACACGAAAAGCAGCAATCTCGAAAGAAACGAGGAAATAAAAACGATCGAGATTTACATTCATATAATTCTCCTTCTTATGTGTACAGAGGGAATATTTCAGAGTCGGAAGTTAAAAAATATCGATATTCAACTACTCAAAAATATTATACGAATTCCTACCAAAGTTCTAATAAAATGAGGGAAAATTTTATGAAAATTTACAGAAATGGTATAATTTCATTTTAAAGTGATATTATTTTCAAGTTAAACACTGATTTTAATATTTAAAAAAAAGAAACTTGCCTTCGACGTATTCGTGAAATTGAATAAGTTAAAAAAAATTCTAATTTAATTTAAATTCACTTTCATGCAAATTCTGTTAAAAATTAAGAAAAATTCAATTAGATTCAGTTAAAATTTGATACAATAAAAGTTTAGTACAATTAAAATTTCATTTCATTTAAATTTGATTCATTTAACATTTGGTGCAATTAAAATTTGAATCAATTAAAATTTTGTTCATTTAAAGTTTGGTTTAGTTAAAATTTGAGTTAATTAAAATTTGGAGCAATTAAATTTTGGATTAGTTTAAATTTGGTTCAATTAAAATTTCATTTAATTAAAATTCTTTTTCAATAAAAATTTTGTCCAAATAAAATTTGGTACAATTAAAGTTCTTCTTTTTCAATATTTTGTTCATTTAAAGTTTGGTTTAGTTAAAATTTGAGCCAATTAAAATTTGGAGTAATTAAAGTTTCGATTACTTAAAATTTGGGTCAATTAAAATTTCATTTAATTAAAATTCTTTTTCAATAATAATTTAGTTCAATTAAAATTTGGTACAATTAAAGTTCCATGTAATTAAAGTTTAGTTTAATTTGGTTTTTATTAAAATTTAGGTCAATTAAAATTTGGTTCATTTAAAATTTGGAGCAATCAAAGTTTGGTTTAGTCAAACTTTGGTACAATTAAAATTTGGGTCAAATATAATTTGGTTTAATTAAAATTAGTTTTAATTAAATTTCAGTTCAATTAAAATTTGGTTCAATTAAAACTTAAAGTTACATTAAAAAATTCTGCTTTTTAGTTACAGAAAAGGCAAATTTACCGAAAATAGAAAAAATCATAAACAAAGTAGAAATTCTCAAGAGAAATAAAAAAGAAAACTCCAACGAAAATAGCATTGAAAAAGATTTTAAAACACATATTAATAAAGATGGAAAATTAACGACTAAACAAAAAGAAAGGACAGACTTTCTTAACCCAAAAAACACAAATCAATTGTATTACAAAACAACAAATGAACTAACAACAAAAGAAATCAATAAAATCGAAATACTTCCAACAAAATTTGAAAGTACGAATTTTAATTATAAGAAGACAATTAATCCATTTATCGACGATGAAGTTGGAAAATTAGAGGCAAAAACAAACGTCTATTCGGATAATACAGAAACAATGGAAACAAAGTTCTAGTAGTAAACAAAAATAAAACCTTCTAAACTCCGTCACTCATTGTTCATTTTGAGAGTAATAAAAAATCATTCAACCCTTTTCCTCTATACACACGCATGTAAACTAACTTACATCCAAATAAAAAAAACTCCAAATGAAAGGAAAAGAATAACAAAAAAAAATTAAGCCAAAAAAAATAAAAAATTAATTTTACACAAATATATTGAAAATTATTTTCAAAAGTTACTAAAGTTCCCCAAATTTAAATAAATTTATTTAGTTAATTTAATTCATTTATACTTTCAATTATATTATTTTATTTATTACTCTTTTATAATTATGTTATTTGTTTATTTATTTTATATTTTTTATATTTATATTATTCTTTAATTTTAATTAGAAAATAATATTTTTGTTTAAAAGAATGCTTCATTTTTCTAATTTTTATAATTTTGTGCACTGCAGTATATTTTTCTAGTTGTAATTAATTTTGAACTTGAAATTATGGAGAAATTATGGTTAATATTTATAAATAAAAAATTTGGTGTATAAAAAAAAGAATTGTTCAAAAAAATTTTTGTAATTTGCGTAATAATAATAATAATAATAATAATAATAATAATAAACTAAATTCAAAATTTCGCGCAAAGGCGTGCGTAACATTTACTGGTTTAAATAATAAAATTAAATTCGATTAATTTACTGACAATTCATAATCAATATTTTTTTAGTTTTCCAATTATTTGCGATTAACACATGGAAATGAATTTGTCATGGATTTATCCACACGTAAATTGCACAAATGATTGCCCTCTACATGCACCTCTATGTAGCCTATAAAAACTTTTGCGGTCACAATATATTTGTAATATTTGATTAATTATTGTTGATAAAGCCAAATAAAATTAACAGGAAAATTTTGAAATTGAAAAAAAGATAATTTTTTGTAGAAAAAAAATATTAAAACTGAAACAATATGATTGCAATTAGAAAGTCCATGATATTACCGATTTTAGCAGTAATGCTAATTATTTATTTGCAAACAGCACAAGGAATTTCTCGTTCCTCCGAAGAAGACTCTTCTGAATCGTCATCTGCATCATCATCATCATCATCTTCTAGTATGTATGATTTCTATTACAGTCAACTCTCGATAAATAAACTTTTGATAAATTTAATTTCCCAAAGAATTAAATTTCTCTTTCTGGTCACTTAAAAAAATTTTGATATTTAAAACTAACTTGAGTTGACTGTCTGTTAAATTCCCTCGTGGGTCGCATAAATACTTCATTTTCTAGTTTACAAAATTTATAAACATTCACAATTTTAATTTCAACAAAATTTACCTTATTTTTTAATATTTCCTTTTTTGTAAATCATTTTCTCTTTACTTTACAATGAAAAAGGTCCGAAATAATATTATATTTTCCAACTATTTTTTTAGTTTAAGGTGATTAATCCAAGATAAGGCGGAGACCACTAGAAAAATGATGATTAATATTTAAATAATTTAAATATTATTAATATTATATTTTCTAGAAAAACAAATAACAAAATTTTAATTTTGTAAAAATTAATTGAATTTTCTTTAACGACTTCATTAATTTAAATGGACATTCTTAAAATGAGATAAACTAAAAAAAATATTAATTTATTAAAATGGATTTAATTTTATGTAAAAATTACAGGTGATTCAGACAGTTCTAGTTCAGAAACAAAAGAATCATCTGAAAGTAGTTCAGTTACAGAAGAATCTAATGAAAATAAAAAACAAAACGTCAAAAGATTTGTGTAAGTGTAAACAAAATTATATAGTATAGTATTCGTGATACAGAAAAATAAAGTTGATAATTTATATTTTTATTTAATTTAAAAAAACAAGTGTTTTTATATATTTAAATAAATAATGAAAACTCATTTTGTAACTAGTCCAGAACGATTTCGACGACAACCTTATCCAAGTGAGAAATTAGAAGAATTTCAATACGATCCACCGAAATTAGAACTTAATGAAGGAGGTATCGAAGGATATGTAGCAATGAACCCCAGTCCATCTGATATTCTAGCATTGGTTCAGGAAGGACAAGTGTATTCTTCAGACTATACATACGTATAGGCGCTCCCGGAATGAGTCTAAAACAAGTCTAGTGCTGAGTCCCATACTGACTATAATGTGAACAAGACAGTGTTGATCGTTTCAATTAAAACTCAATAGAAAATTTAACGATTGACTAATTAGAAACTAAATTAAAAACTGCCTAATTCAATATTACAACGGTTTCTAATTTTGCCTTCAATTTAATTATATTTTATTCAATCAGAGGTGTAACTACAAAATTTTGACATTTTTTCCCGCCGAGTTTAGAATCCTTTGAAGTTGCCCGTGTAAAAATTTCCACAAAGTCGACCAAACTGAGATAAGCGCCAATCTAGGTCCAACTTAGCTTTCCAAAGTTTGAAAAATAAAGAAATAAAGAAATTTAATTAATTTCATTATTATTTAAAAATAATATGCTGGACAAATAAACAAAAAAGCGACAAACAATTTTTTTTGTTTAGTATCCTTGGGCGACGTTCCGGTCAACCCAACTTGGATTTCTCAAAGTATTCCCAAATTGAAATTTAATTGAATTTTCTGTTATAAATCAAGAAAAAATAAAAAAAATAAAAACTTTAATTAATTACATTAGCATATTTCATGAATAAATAAAATGTATGTATGTTTTCAATTAATACAAGTAAACTAAATGATAATAATTTGGTTGTGTTTTGAGTTTGGTGTTTCCCACTTCGACCTCATTTTTAATAATTTATTTCTTCTTTTGATTCAATTGCTTAATAATTGAACGTAATATTTTAATTTCGTGTAGAACAATAATTATTTAAACAAATTCAAAATGTAAAAAAATATTTAACTTCAATAATTGTTTGTCTAAATTATACTGAGAGGATTTTCTTTAACTTTAATTGAAATTACATTTCCGTTAAAAACAAGATATCATTTTCCAAGTTTCATAATATATTTTAAACATCACAGTATATTTTTCTAGTTTTAATTAATTTAAAATATGAAATTATGCAGAAATTGTAGTTAATATTTAAAACCAAAAAATTTTATACCGGAAAAAAGAGAATTACTTTTAAAAAATTTTGAAATTTGCATATTAATTTATAATAATAATAAAAAACTGAATTCAGCATTTCGTGCACAGGCACGCGTAAAATTTACTGATTTAATTAATAAAGCGGTATAAATCGAAACAAATAATAAAAATGATAAGTAATATTTTTTATAACCTTCAAAAATTCAATTCAATTCATTTACTGACAATTTATAATCAATATTTTTTCAATTTGCAATTATTCAAAATCATTTTATTTCTCGAAGCATTTAAAAGTTTTATAATGTAAACCAGTGTTAAAAATTTACGACAAGTTAATTTCGCGGTTAACACATGGAAATGAATTTTTCATGGATTTCTCCACACGTGAATTGCACAAACGCCTCCCCCCTCCACATGCACCTTACTCTATATGTAGCCTATAAAAACCTTTGCGGTCACTGTAATATTTCATTAAATATTGTTGATAAAGCAAAATAGAATTGAGAGGAAAATTTTGAAATTAAAGAAAAGAGGGGAAATTTTTATAGATAAAAAATATCAAAACTGAATCAATAATGATTGCGATTAGAAAGTCCATGATATTACCGATTTTAGCAGTAATGCTAATTATTTATTTGCAAACAGCACGAGGAATTCCCCATTCTTCCGAAGTAGACTCCACTGAGTCGTCATCTTCTGCTAGTACGTATGATTTTTATTACTGTCAACTCTCGGTAAATAAATTTTCAATAAATTCAATTTCTCAAAGAATTAAATTTGTTTTATATGGTCCATTAAATTTTTTTTCATATTTCAAACATTAGATGAATAAAATAAAATTTTTTTTTCTGTCTCTTGAGATTGGATACCATAAGTATTGCTGCATCTTCTCAGCAAAGAAATTTAATTTTTAAAATGTTTTCCAAATAGCAATAGAAAGTATTTGCTTGTTAAATTTAAATAAGTAAGAGATTACTTAATGTTTTCTTTATATATTTGCTTTATCTTTTCAAATTGTATTCTTTTTTCATTTATGGTTCTTTTTGAAGGATTTCGTCGACAATCAGTAGAAGGTAATCGTAAGCAGGTACGAGAGGCAAAAGCAGTTGATGATGCTGCCAATGCACAACTGGTTAAATTTGAATCAGATAAAAACAATTATCAGTTTGATTACTAAGTACTATTTTCATAGTTCTTGACAGAGCTTATGACAAACTTACTCCCAGTATAGTTAAGACCTGAACAAGAAGAAGAGCTTTAATTAAATTAATAAAATACTATTTGTTTCAAGACAATGTTAACATAAAACTATCAAATTGTAACGAATTGATCTCGATTGATTCCAGTATTTGAATAAAATAAATAAGGCTATTTAATAATGTAATGTGTTATTTTACTAAGTAGGGTAAGTCCGGGGGAGATGGCCATATGAGAGAGATGGTTAGTTCAAATATTTTACAAAATTTGTAAATAAATATCACTTTTTATGGGTTATTCTTCGACCTTTTGTGACTACTAATAAATGTAAACAACAAATTGTTGGAAAATAATGAAAATGTAAGCGTAATCCTTCTACATTTCTTTTTGCATGGGTCCAAAATAATTTGAGTATTTCAGATTTCTTATTGCTATATTGTTATTTTTTAATGGATTTTTTAATTTCAAGTTTTATTGAGTAGTGCATAATTCACGCTTCGATATAAACAAAAAATGAATGGAAAAATTATTTTATTTATTTAATATTTTTATGTTTACTTTTGTCATGTATTATTATGTGAGATGGCCATTAATGACTTTTATTTAAATTTTTTTATGTTAATGCTAGTTACTTAAGAAATATTAAAGAAAAACAAATTAAAAATGCGTCTGAGAAAAATATAATTAATCTAATTGACGCAGAGATGGAGATCTATATTTGTAGGTTGTGTCGAAAGTTACATTTAAACGACATTGATTGAAGATTGGATTTGAAATTTTTGGCTACATGAAAACTGCACTGAATCCCATGATAAATGTACAAAATGTGACCAGATTAAGAGAAAAGTAATTTGAGCTATTAAAAATTAAATTTAAGCTAAAAGTAAAAAATTATATAAGTATTAGCCATCTCTCTCGGACATTCCGGGAGAGATGGCCAAATGCACTTTTAAAAAAATGTAAATTTTAAGATTGTTTCTATGAAAATATTTTATTTTATTCTTCGTTACGTTAAAGTTAAGTGTTCTATGTTTAATTATCAATAAAAGTTTAGACAAAAATCGCTTTTTTATTTTTACCCTAGTAAATTTTAATTATTTCCAAGATAATTTCATTTTACAACATTATTTCAAAGTAACAAGAAAACATAAAATTTATCACATAAATACGAAAAATAAATTTTGTAGATATTTTATTTAACGATTGACTAACTACAAACTAAATTAAAAACTGACTACTTTAATATTGGAACAGTTTCTAATTTGCTTCCAATTTCGTTATTTTGCTTCCTCATGGAGGATAGATTGTATTAGCAAAATTTTCGATTGTGATTTTTTGACATATTTATAGATTTTTTTTCATTATACCTAATCTCTTAGTACTTTATGCACGAATGGGCATTGCCCGTATAAATGTTATAAATAAATAAAAAAAAATTTTTATGTAATTTTATCTCAGAAGTCCAAAAAACGGATTTTAAAAAATTGTCCCGATGTGTGTGTGTGTGTGTGTGTGTGTGTACTAACATTACATTTGCCTCAATATCTCAGAACGAGAAAGAGCTAAAGGCCTCAATTTTTTTTAAATTGTAGGTCTCCCCGGGCGACATAAAATGAGAGTATTTTCAACCCGATTCATAAAGTTTAACTATATTTTTTTTGCATTTTTCATTTTGTAAAAAGACGTTTTTTGGCCATAACTTAAAAAAATGTTAGGACACCTATAAATGTTTTTCCTTAGTTTTGTAGTTTTTTCAGACGCATCTTTTGAGCCTTCATTGAACATTTTTCGTCTATATTAGCCGGAGATATTAAAATTTTAAAAATCTAAATTTTTCGAAAATAACACTTTTTTGAAAATTTTGTTGAAAAATATAAAAGTAACTTTAAAAGTATCATTACTAACTTGTAGAGCATTAAAAAACGCTTCGATTGACATATTTTTGAACCTCATTCGGTCAGAAATTATCAAATTATTGGTATTTGAAAAATCAAAAATTGTGGAAAATATCATTTTTTCAACATTCTTGTTTATTAACTTATGTGTAATTATTAAACTATTATAACCATCTTATAGAATATATAAAAAAAATATTTTTTGGACCAAGATTTAATGATTTTTAACTCTTTTATAAAAATTAATTCTTATATTTCAATTATTATTATTTCTATGAGGAAGCAAAGTGTTCATGAAATGAACACCAAATTTATAAAAATGTACAACTTGGCAGCGGTTTCTTTATTTTATTTTATCCGAGATGTGATTAAAAAATTTTGACTTAATTTCTCGCCGACTTTAGAATCCTTTTTATTCTGCAAGTTTCTTGTGTTACATAACATAACATTTCTTGTGTACTTCTACATATGAGCGAGCAATGATGTACTGTCTGGAGTTTAATTTCAATTATTTATTAGACTATTTTATATTTTTCAATTAAATATTTTCAAAAATTGAAATATCTTTAAAAACAAAAAATCTGAATTAAAATGTTTCAAGAAAACATCATTTTTCTGAATTTTAAATATTTGTCATCTGTGACAAACCTGATTGTTTAATATTCAATTCATTTAATTAAAATATAAACTATAGGCATACTATTTTTTAATCCATCAAAAATTAAAATCGATTCAAATAGGTACAGATAATTTCTGATGAATGTTTTTTCAATTTGGAATTATTTATAAACAATTCGTTTCTCAATACACTTTAACGATTTATAATCTATACCGTTGTTAAAGATTCACTTTAAATTAATTTCGCGATTAACAAAGGAAAATTAATTTTTGATAGAATTCTCCACACGTAAATTGCACAAGTGCCTCCTACCTACACCCATATAAACAATCCTTATCAACAGTCTATAAAAACCTTTGCAGTCACTATTGTCTGAGTTGATAAAAGCTGTACAAATAAAAAAATTTTAAGAAAATATTTGAAATTGAAAAACAGGAAAATTTTTCATACAAGAAAAAAGTATCAAAACTCAAACAATATGATTTCGATTAGAAATTTCCTGATCCTATCGATTTTAGCAGTAATGCTGACTACTTATTTGCAAACAGCGCAAGGATTTCCTCATTCTTCCGAAATATCATCTGATAATTCAGTAATTTCTAGTACGTATAATTCTCATTGAAATAGAAATAATTAAAAAATTGTATTCCTCAAAATAAAAAAAATTGCACCTTCCCCCACAGCGCTGACAATTTTCTGAAAATTTATCAAATAAAATAAATAATAAAATATTTGGATTTAAAAAATTTGAAATTCAATTTTAAAGTATATTTTAAAAATATCAATATCTTAAAAGTATTTTAAATTATTTGAGACATCATGTTGATTCAGATAATACTAGTTCAAAGACAGACGAGTCAAATTAAAATAATTTAATTACAGATGAATCTAACGAAAATGGAAAACAACTCATCAAAAG